CCTGCCTGTCCCCTTCCTTTCCTCATCTTTCAGCCCCATCTCCCTGAAAATTCAGAATGAGTCCCTTGGTATTCATCTTAATCTGGCGTTTAAAACCTCAGGCAATAAAGCTTTCACCACTTCCCTTACAGAGACAATTTTCCAGCCTGTGATTCTCCATTCAAAAGCTTTCCACACGGATTCTCAGCTTAGACATGCCCTTCTGTAATTTCACCCCATTAAAACCATTAATGTATCACCAGTCTTCTCCCTTCGTGCCACTTACTTAATTCAAACATTTACAGATCACTAGTGTGTCCCTGCTTAGTTTACTAATTCCACAGTACCTACGACAGCTGGAATTTCTTTTTTTTTTTTTTTTCCCTTTTGTAAAGCCTCCAGCCTGCTGATTCCTTCAGTTGTGGCTCTTGGAGCTGCTTCCTTCCTGCAAATCTGAGGCAGATGCTCACCGTCCTCACCTGTGTCCTTCTGCTCCTCTGCACTCCATCCAAACCCACGTTGCCTGTTCCTGACTGCCCCGCCCTAACACCTGTGAGCAGCCTAATGTCCTGCAGGTGTCCTGCAGGTCATGCCTCCAGAGCACATCCTTCCCTATAAATACAGATTCTGGATCTACTTTTTCTTTTCTCCCCGAAGCAGCCAGCTGGGTTGTGGAGGTTGGTGTTAGTGGGTGGCAGCGTGTGGCTAAAGCTGCATCGGAGCAGACTCTGGATCTGAGCTCCCAGCAGCCCAGCCCAGGGGAGGTTTTATTTTTCTGTAAGTATGTATCTTACTAGTGTGTTCCCTCATGCTGACACCCCAAATAGTGCATTCGCCTTCCTTGCAAAGAAAGTTTTTTTACATACCTGGTGAGAAGTATCTTGCAAAGTCGCAAAACCCTGTTTTGAAAAAGAATCTTGAATTCCTGAACGCGCAGCTCTGGTTCTACCTGAACTTGTCTCTTTATTTCTCCTAACATGATGAATGCTTGTGAGGGAGCATGTGATGTCTGTGGTTCCCAGCATGGTTTGGGTGGTGGTGTGGGTAGATGCATACATGCTTCTCTACTATCAGCCCTGTGACTGGTTCTGTGCCACGAGCAGCTGCACGGTGAATGTTCAGCTCCCGAACTTCCCAGGTGTTTGCAGCCCCGATCAGGACTTAGGGACTGTGCTGAAACGATTGCTGCCACGTTTCCCAATCGCGGGGCGCTTGGGAAATGCACTGTGTGGTTGTGCAGCACACACGCCCCGGGGGCGCGAACCGAAACGCGCTGATTAGGAAACACCAGGGCGATGTTTAACGAGCGCATTACAAATTCGGCCCTGCTGCACACCACAGTTCCCCCACCCAGCCCCAGGGACTCGGATCTGAGTCCGATCTGAGGCTGGGGCTGGAAGATCTCCAGAGGTCCCTTCCAACCCTGACGATCCTGTGATTCTGTGATCTCAGGGAGCGCAGAAGCAGGATCGCTAGGATCAGTGTCAGAGGCGATCAGCGGGAGATCAGTGTTGGAGGGTGCCTCTCCTGGGAGTGTGTGAGGGGTGCCAGGGCTTGTGTGTGACGGGGATAATGACAGGGATAATGACAGGGACAGGGATAGAGATAGTGACAGTGATAGGGAGACTGACAGTGATAGCGACAGGAACAGGGACAGTAATAGTGACACAGGGACAGGGATAGGGATAGTGACAGTGATAGGGAGACTGACAGTGATAGCGACAGGAACAGGGACAGTAATAGTGACACAGGGACAGGGATAGGGATAGTGACAGTGATAGGGAGACTGACAGTGATAGCGACAGGAACAGGGACAGTAATAGTGACACAGGGACAGGGAGAGGGTCAGGGACAGTGACTGCTACAGTGACAGTGACACAGTGACAGTGGCAAGGACAGTGACAGTGTGAGTGACACAGTGACACAGCGACAGGGACAGTGACACAGTGTCAGTGATACAGGGACAGGGACACTGACACAGGGATGGGGACATGGGGACAAGGACAGTGACTGCTACAGTAACGGCGACTTCCAGTGCCAGTGACAATGACCCAGGGACAGTGGTAATGATACAGTGACGGCGACACAGGCACGGAGACACAGAGGCAGTGACACAGGGTAGGGACACAGAGGGACACAGGGACAGGGGCACAGTGACAGTGACATGGGGACAGGGACACAGACACAGACTCAGGGACACAGTGGCAGTGACAGACACAGTGACAAGGACACAGACACAGGGACACACTGACACAGGGACCTGGACACAGTGACACAAGGACAGTGACAGTGACACAGACACAGGGACAGTGACAATGACACAGGGACATAGAGACAGTGTCACGGGCACAGCCCCATCTGGCCCCAGCCCGTTCCCGTTCGCGTCCCCGTTCCTGCTGCCATCCCCGTTCCCGCTCCGATTCCCACTCCCGTCCCCCTCTCCGTCCCCACTCCCATCCCCATTCCCGCTCCCCTTCCCACTCACGTCCCCCTCCCTGTCCCCATTCCCAGCCCTATCCCCATTCCCATTCCTATCCCCGTTCCCATCTCCGCTCCCGTTCCGGTTCCCATCCCCGTTCCCTTTCCCATCCCCGTTCCCTCTCCCCTTACCACTCCCGTCCCCATTGCCAGCCCCATCCCCATTCCCGTTCCCGCTCCCCTTCCCACTCCCGTCCCCCTCCCCGTCCCCATTCCCATCCCTATCCCCATTCCCGTCCCCATTCCCATTCCTATCCCCGTTCCTATCCCCCTTCCCTTTCCCGCTCCCGTTCCCATCCCCGCTCCCATTCCCGTTCCCATCCCCGTTCCCATTCCCATCCCCGTTCCCATTCCCGTTCCCATTCCCATCCCCGTCCCCATTCCCATCCCCGTTCCCATCCCCGTTCCCATTCCCATCCCCGTTCCCATTCCCAACCCCGTTCCCGTCCCCGTTCCCATCCCCGTTCCCATTCCCATCCCCGCCCCCATTCCCTCTCCCATTCCCTTTCCCATCCCCGTTCCCGTTCCCGCTCCCATCCCCGCTCCCATCCCCGTTCCCTTTCCCATCCCCGTTCCCATTCCCATCCCCATCCCCGTTCCCGTTCCCATCCCCGTTCCCATTCCCGT